GTCCCGCTCCCACCCACCCCATCTCTGTCTCTCTCTCTGTCTCACTTTCTCTCTCTCTCTCTCTCTCTCTCTTTCTTTGAAGCGGACACCCATCCACCTTAGATTGATGCATCGCCGTCCTAGGAACAAGGAAAGGCAACACCGACACCACCAGGGCGAGGAGATGCGAGGAGCAAGGGGGGGTCTCCCTGGTGGTGTGGTCCCCCCTCTCGCTCGAGACATCCCGAGCCTCCAGCTCGGGGAGGCATCGTGGACCTCCTCGCTGGAGGCCTGAGGTAGCTCCTCCTGGTGGTGTTGGTGTCGCTTCTCCTCCCTCCGGCCCAAACTCGTCATCACCCCCCTCTCGGCCGCCCCCGGGGCCAGTTGGGCGGATTTTTCTTGGACGGCCTCGGGGGCCCGGAGGGAAGACCCCACGGGAGGCCCAACACGCGGCGAAGAGACTCAAAAACGCCTTACTCTCAGAAACCCCCCTTGTGAACGTTTTCTAATTCTCGACGGCGAGCGAAGGGGGGAAGTCCCCCCCCCCAATGGGGCCGTCCCCTCCCAACCTCGTCCGCCCTCCCGGGCGAGTCGCCGACGCTTCTACGCCTGGCGCCACTTTCCGTGCCGACGTGGCCGCGATACCTCCTGCACAGTCCGCGCGGGGTGCGCGGGCACCTCGAGCGCACGCGGACAGGGGTTCACGGGGTCCACGACTGAGACCTACTCTCAGCGGCGAGCGAGTGGGGGAGGTGAGACGGAGCAGGTGTTCTCAGAAGGCGGCGGGACTTCTCGGACGTCCTCGCGCCTTCTGAGAAGTGCGTTCTCTGCCTTCGGGGGAGGCTGAGAAAACTTCTCTGAAAGCCGAAGCACTTCCGAGCCTTCTGAGAAGGCCTTCTCCTCCTCCTCCTCCTCCTCCCCCCCTCGCCCGCCGCCGATATTCACATGCAGCGCGGGCTCGTCTACACGGCCAGCGTTCAGCAGCTCCTGCACGCTGGCGCCGAACCGACGCGCTCGTGTCCCGAGCATCAAACGCATCCCAAGCGGGACGGGTCGTGGAGACCGCCGTCCTGCCTGGGCCTAGCCGCTTGGCTCACTGACCGCTGTACGCAACGCCAGGCGAGGCCTCGAGAAAACGAGAGGCAGTCCTCAAGCGTGACAGAAGGCGTCGCCCGCCGCCGGCCGCACACCACAACGCCCACGTCGCGGGTGGCGCTGCCGAAGGCGCCAGGGGCCGCGGGAGTCGCGGTGGCATCGAGATCTTAGGGCATGCCCAGCAACTTGTGTGTGGAAGACAGCTCGCGGGACGTCAGCGCCGCAAGCCTCGGGGCCCCTGGCAAGGCAACACGGCCACTGCCAGTGCGTCGCCTGCGTTGCCTTGCTGGGCTGCCCAAACTTAAATCCTAATCGCAGATTTTAGATAAGCCTGGGGGCGGGGATCGCGTGGATGGGTCACATACTTCGAAAGGATGGGTGCGGGCTGTGGGGCGACGATCCTCTTTGGGGCACTGCCCAGACGCGTGGTGTCGCGCAGGGTCCTGGAACGGGCCGTCGGACGGACCGGCATGGGGGCTGCTCATTAAGCTATCTGGAATCATGTTAAGCCCCGTCCTCACCAAAGTGCCCACCAACACATGCCTCCACCTTGGCTTGCGCTCGTCACCCGGTGGCCAACTGGAAAGCTGCCCAACAGGAGTCGGAATAACCTGGGCTACGCGCACGCGGGACCCTATAGGCTCGAGTGACCTCTGGTGCGCGACTTCTGGGGGCTGCGGGGTGGACGAGTCCAAGCGCGCAGGCCAGTGTTGGGGAGTGGCCCTGCTTGTCGGGCACGCACCATGGGCCACTCCAGCAAAGAGCCACTTTCACGCGCACAGTCGGGCTGCTGAATGGAAGAACAAACAAGAAGGAACGAAACCTCTTTTTGGCCCAAAAAGCGCCTGCGTGCACGAGGAGGCCTACATGAACAGCCATCGAATGACTTAAGAAACATCGAGTCCCTTCTGAAACCAAAATGTGCCTTTCTTCAGCGTCTTGACTGCAGCCGATTGGCGTGGCCGGGGGATTGCACCGCATCGCAGGTGTATCGGCGACGCGGCGCGATCCCCTGGGCACCTGTGGCCCCCAATGGGCATCCTGTGTTCGGAGGTCCCGGAATGCCGCCACACGCCTCGGGGGTCCTTGAAGCCCTCCAGAGACAGGTAAGAGGTGAGAGCACGTCAAGATGGCCCTGGACCAAAATCCCACCAGCCCTCTGGGCGTAGGTGGTCTAGGGCGGTTTCATCACTGTTCCTTATTAATATACACCCCCTCCCCCAGGCGACCGGCGTCCAACCAGGAACCATAAGGACACCATTCCGACCCGCCCCAAAAAATCTCTGACAAAAAACAATACAAGCCGCATTCTGCCAACACATTTGGAACATGCGCGCTCAACACCATGCGGCCCCCCCAACATCCCTGTCCAAAAACAATGCAAAGTACACTTTGGGGCACAGTCTTTAGTCAGGTTCGTGAGGTTCGCAAACGTATTGATGTTGACAAGGACGGCGGGTGCCAGCATATTCCCTGCCGTGCGCAGGGCATGCGCGGCCATCCCGCGATCACTGTCAAATTGTTTTGATAAGGACCATGGGGGTGGTGGCGCATGGCCTGCTGCGCGCAGGCCCACCAGACAAAACGATGGGCATGGGTTTTCGACAAAGATGGCGGGGGCCAACATGTTTCCCGATGTGTGCTGTCACGTGCGCAGGCAAACCTGGCGCACTCTGCAAGTGCCCCGAACATGGCGCACCTGACGCGGCTGGAATGTGCGGCGCACCTGGCGCACTCGGAACGCGAGACGCATCTGGCGCACCAGGCACGCTCGCGCCCCAGGGGTACCTGGCGCGCGTGGCGCACCTGGCACGGGTGGCGCACCTCGCCCAAGCGTCGCGCACCTGGGGTCGGCTTTGGTTTCTAATAGCTGCCCATCCAAAAACGACCGCTGAAAATGCTCAGGCTCGGGCGTTACTTATGTGCTGAGAGGGCGGGTGGGAGTGAGCTAGACGGCTTGCGGGCGGGTGGATAGCTTGACCCCTCCCCCTACCCCCTCCCCTGCGTCCTGGGGTGTTGGCGCGAGGCGTTGGGCCGTCCAAGGTGGCTCAAAGAGGGCCCCATAAATCCCAAGATTACCTCCAAGATGGTTCAAGATAGCCCAAGATGGCTCAATATGGCTCTCTAGATGCTCCAAAAAACCCCAAGACCGCTCCAAGACGGCTCCGAATGGCCACGGAACCCTCCCAGGAGGCCGCCAAGAGGCCCGATTCATTCAAAAACGTAATAAACATGAATAGTGTTCGCCTTCTCGCCTTTTCGCTTCCGATGTCTTTCCGAGGCCTCAATGGATCCCCTGAGGACCCAAAGAATGGCCCAAGTGAACCACAAAACGGCGCCAAAACGGCCCCAAGAGCGCCCCAAAAAGGGCCCAAGAGGCGATGATTGGGGCTCCCAAAAGGGGGAGGCAGTAATTGAAGTTCCCCCTTTGCTTTATCGATATCCTCCAAGCTGGCCAGCAGAGCGCCCCCAAAGCCCCCAAGAGCGCCTCAAGAGGGCCCCACGAGGCGCTCAGGATGCCCCAAAAGGAGCCCAAGAGGCTTCCAAGAGGCTCACAAGAGGCCCCCAAGAGGCCCCAAGAGGCCCCCCGAGGCACTCAAGACGCTCCAAAAAACTTCCAAATCGGTCCAAAGGCCGCCAAAAAAACTTCAAAAAAACATCCGAGGAGACTCGGGGAGGCGACTCTCTTGGGCATCGTTTCTGGATGGGATAGCGGGGATACTTTTTTGGATCGCGAGCGTTCCCGGAGACGCCGTACGCCGTCAAAGGTCGCAGCAAACAGGCTACGAGCGAATTGCGCACCAGGGGGAGGGAGGGAGGCGACGAGAGGACAGCGGGAGGAGGAACAAACAGCACCGTCGACTGGGGGGGGAGCCGCCAGGCGGAATGCATCGCCAACATGGCTGGGACTTCTGGTTGAACGACACCGCGAGCCGCGAGCGTTCGAAAGACACGGACCACTGGCTCGTCACACCATGAGGACCAGGCGACAGGACCAAGTGTCGCTCCGTCGCAAGGTGGCGGTCGAGCCACACGCCCCGCCAAGCGTCGACCAACTCACGTGCAGGCGCTCAACAGACCAGAGTCCGGGTCGCCAGACACCGTCAGAGATTGGTGTCGAGACCGCGTGTCTCAACGCGGGGGGGGCGGGCGGGCGCTCGCGCACCGGGTGGGGCCGCTCCATGCGACCGATGGCACCGGAGCGCGCCATGGAAGCGTCCAGCCGCAAGGTGGGGGGTGACCGCGAGGTCAGCAGGCCCCAGGTCGGGGAGGGATTGCCGCAGGCCAAGGGCCGCATGGGGCGAAGAGGCCAAAGGCGGCGGGGCAGCAGAAGGCGGGCGGACAACCTAACGGGGCGGCCCGCGCCGGCCACGCGGCAAGTGGTGGAGCCCAGGCGGCGCCTTTGTGCAGAGCATTGTGGGGTTAGTGGGAATACTTATCCATCACGGCCACAGGCGAAGGCGCCAGCAGCAGAAGCAGTCTCGGCTCGGGCTACGAGCGAACCGAATTGCTAGTGGGGATATTTTCTGTCGCGGCCACCAGCGAGCGCGCAAGCGGCGAGAGGAGTTGTCCGGGCCAGCGGGCAAACCTAATTAGCTGCTGAGCGCAGCACGAGCCGGCCAGGCCAGCTCACAAACGCGGCAGCTGGGGCAGCGGCAGCGGGGGGCTGGTTGGCTGAACTGGAACGCCCAGGGGAACTCGAGCAACGTGCAGCCCTGCAGCAAAATGCCAGGGAATTCTGTGTTACGCGCTGTGGCGCTGTGGCGGCCAGACGTGGTAAGCGATGGGCCGTCGCCAGTGGGGCGCCAAGCCCAAGCCGCGCCAACGGCGCGTGCGCGCCAGCTGAGCTGCTCCGCCGAAAACGTCGAATACCAAGCCGGGGGTGGGGTGGGCCCGGAAGGCGGCCGAAACTGCGAAGGCTGAACCACTCGGAGATGGCTGTGCCTCCAGGGGCCGTCAAACGCTAGTGGGGATACTTTTTGATTGCGGCCGCGAGGCAACGGTCAGGCGGCGAGAGCAGAGTCCGGGGCAACGGCACAGTGCGAATTGGCGAACGCAGCAGCCAGGATGCCAAGCTGAGACGCGCCTGCAAGCAGGTAGCATATGCACATGCACGGTACAACATGAAAGCTAGTGGGGGTACTTTTTTTGGTCGACGGCCGCGCGACAATGGTTTGGCGGCAACAGGTATGTCCTGGACGGCGGAACAAGCAAATTCCACGCGAGGCGCCCAATGCACGTGCACTGAGCATAATGCTCAGCATTCACTGGGACGCACCTAGCGCACAGAGGTGCAAGCTGCGGAGCAAGTCGCCATTGCGGCGCCAAGCTCCGAGCAACTGCCCAGGCATGCAACTATGCACCAGCCTGGGGCGCCAGCTGCACGTAGAGGAAACGCAGGCCGACGACGCCGAAGGCTGACCCACTCGGCGCGCGGCCAACGGAACCACCACCGACTGCAGACGCTGGCCGAGAATCCAAAACACAATGTCGCGCGGGGTTGGGAGGGCTACAGCAGCCCACAGAGTGCGACAGGGCGCGTGGTAGGGGGGGCGCAGCTAACCGCCGCAAGAAGTACGTAACTGAAGGGCAGCTGCACACCGTCTGTGAGAACACATGTGGGGGGCGCAGCTAACCGCCGCAAGAGCCACGCAGTGAAAAAAGGGGGGGGGGGGGAGCTGCACGGGGCAGTGCGGCATAGGGTGGAGTGCGCCAGCGCTAAGAGCCACAAAGCGACAGGACTGGCAACGCTACGCGACACGGCTAAGGCTGCACCTGATGTGCACCAGCGGTACGAAGCTGAAGGGCAGCTGCACACCGACTGAGTGGACGCGCGCGGGGGGCGCAGCAAACCGCCGCAAGAGCCACGTAGTGCACAGAGGGAGGGGGGGGGGGGCGGAGCGGCGCAGCGTGGCGTAGGCTGGAGTTCGCTAGCGAAGAGAGCCACAGAGCGACCGAGTCATAACCCTGCGCCGCAGCTGAGGCTGCACGTGATGTGCACCAGCCTGGAAAGCCAGCTGCACGTAGTGATAGACGAAGGCCGACGACGCCGAAGGCTGAACCACTCGGCGCGCGGCCTACGTCACCACCAACGACTGCAGACGCTGGCTACGATGCGAGAACACAGCGTCGCACGGCAGTGCACGGTGCAGAGCGGCATAGGATGGAGTGAGCCAGCGCAGAGGGCCACTAAGCGACCAGGCCGAACACACTATGCCACGGCTGGAGCGACACCTGATGCGTACCAGCGGGACAGCCCGCTGCACGTGGTGGAAGAAGGCCGACGACGCCGAAGGCTGAACCACTCGGCGCGCGGCCGACGCTACCGCCACCGACAGCAGACGCTGGCCACGATTCGCGTGCCAGCGCTGAGAGCCACTAAACGGCCAAGTCAAGCAACACTACGCAGCACAACTGTAGGCACCTGACCTAAAACAGCTGTGCGGCGAGCAGGGCGGCGACTATTTCAGGCGACTGTCCCTGCCACCGGCAGCGGGCGGCTGTCCTGTGGACAGCAAAGAGCGCCGGGGGGGGGCATATTTTTCCCGCGCACGCCCGCCAGCAGCGCGAAAGCGAGTACCGGCAATGCCTGCACCGGCAATGCCTACTTCGCGGCGAAAAGCCGCGGCTTGCCCAGCAAAGGAGCACGTGCGGGAGGTGAGACTGCACAAGGGAGAAAAAGAAAAAGAGGGGGGGCTCAGAGGTCTGAGCCCTCAGACCCGCCCTCCGAATCAGGCACAGGGACGGTAACACTTTGTGCATGCATGCCAGTCGTGCGGCCCCCACAGAGGCTGCAGTCATGCAGTGCTACACTGATTTCCTGCCTGGCATCCGGGTGCACCCAGTGGGAATGAGTGCCTAGGTGGAGATCGTGCTCAATCGAACATCTAAAACACACCTGTTCACTAAGAAGTGCAGACACGGGAACGGGATGAGGTTGAATATCTCCTGGATCACCATGGAGTTGCAAGGGATGCACTCCGCCGAGCGCTCGAACATCTCCTGGATTGTCGTGGAGTCGCCGGAGATGGCCGCCATCTTGAATCCCCTCGCACTCCGCCTAGCGCTCGAACATCTCCTGGATTGTCGTGGAGTCGCCGGTGAAGGCCGCCATCTTGAGTCCCCTCAGCGGGATGTCGCACACGGAGGCCTTGATGTTGTTCGGGATTCGCACTGGCTCGCTCTCGGACATCTCCTGGATCGCAGCGGAGTTGCTCGAGGTCCACCCCGCCACATGCTTGAACATCACCTGGATTGCCGTGGAGTTGTTGGCCAAAGCCGCCATCTCCAGTCCCTCCAGCGGGAGGTCGCACAGGGAGGCCTTGGTGTTGATCAGGATCCACTCCACCATGTGCTCGGGCATCTCCTGGATCGCCGTGTAGCCGTCGGCCAAGGCTGCCGCCCTGTGGTCCCTCAGCGGGGTGTCGCACAAGGAGGCCTTGATGTTGTTCGGGATTCGCTTCGCAACGCTCTTGAACATCTCCTGGATCGTCGTGGAGTCGCCGGCGAAGGACGCTTAGATGTTGTTCGGGATCCACTCTGCCACGCCCTCGAACATCGCCTGGATCGCCGTGGAGACGTCGTCGACGGCCGCCACCTTGAGGTCCTGCAGCGGGGTGTTGTACATGGAAGCCTTGATGTTGTTCGGGACCTGGTCCGCCACGAGCTCGAACATCTCCTGGGTCGTCGTGGAGTTGCTGGCGAAGACCACCAACATGTCGAGGCCCTTCAGAGGGATGTTGTACTCGGAGGCCTTGATCATGTTCGGGATCTGGTCCGCCACGAGCTCGAACATCTCCTGGGTCGTCGTGGAGTTGCTGGCGAAGGCCACCACCATGTTGTTCGGGGTCCACTCCGCCGCGAGCCTGAACATCTCCTGGATCGCCGTGGAGTTGCCGGCGAAGGACGCCGTAATGCTGTTCGGGTTCCACTCCGCCATGCCCTCGAACATTTCCTGGGCCCCCGTGGAGCTGCTGGCGAAGGCCACCACCATCTTGAGGTCCTTCAGCGGCATGTCGCTCACAGACGCCTTGATGTTGTTAGGGGTTCATTCCGCCACGAGCTCGGACATCTCCTGGATCGTCGTGGAACTGCTGGCGAAGACCACCGCCATCTTGAGATCCTTCGGCGGGATGTCGTACTCGGAGGCCTTGATGTTGTTCGGGATCTGGTCCGCCACGAGCTCGAAGATCTCCTGGAACGTCGTGGAGTTGCTGGCGAGGGCCACCACCATGTCGAGATCCTTCAGCGGGATGTCGCACACGGACGCCTTGACGTTGTTCGTGATCCACTCTGCCAAGCTCTCGAACATCTTCTGGATCGCCGTGGAGTCGTCGTCGACGGCCGCCATCTTGAAGTCCTTCAGCGGGATGTTGTACAGGGAGGCCTTGATGTTGTTCGGGATCCACTCCGCCACGAGCCTGAACATCTCCTGGATCGCCGTGGAGTTGCCGGCGTAGGACGCGTTGATACTGTTCGGGGTCCACTCTACCATGCTCTCGAACATCTCCTGGATCCCCGTGGAATGGTGGCGAAGGGCGCCGCCATCTTGGGGTCCTTCGGCGGGATGTCGCTCGCGGACGCCTTGATGTCAACCCCTCCTGGATCGTCGTGGAACTGCTGGCGAAGACCACCACCATCTTGATATTCGTCGGCGGGATGTCGTACTCGGAGGCCTTGATGTTCTTCGGGATCTGGTCCGCAACATCTCCTGGATCGTCGTGGAGTTGCTGGCGAAGGCCACCACCATTTCGAGGTCCTTCACCGGGATGTCGCACGCATCTTGACGTCGTTGGTGATCCACTCCTCCACGCTCTCGAACATCTCCTAGATCGCCGTGGGGTCGCCGTCGACGGCCGCCATCTTGAGACCCTTCAGCGGGATGTTGTACTCGGAGGCCTTGACGTTGTTCGGGATTCACTCCGCCACGAGCCTGAACATTTCCTGGATCGCCGTGGAGTTGCCGGCGAAGGGCGCCTTGATGCTGTTCGGGATCCACTCCGCCATGCTCTGGAAACTCTCCAGGATCCCCGTGGAGTTGCTGGCGAGGGCCACCACCATCTTGAGGTTCTTCAGCGGGATGTCGCCCACGGACGCCTTGATGTTGTCCGGGATCCATTCCGCCACGAGATTCCACCCATCCTGGATCGTCGTGGAGTTGCTGGCGGAGACCACCGCCATCTTGAGGTCCGTCAGCGGAATGTTGTACAGGGAGGCCTTGATGTTGTTCGAGATCCACTCCGCCAGGGGCCTGGACATCTCCTGGAACGTCGTGGAATTGCTGGCGACGGTTATCGCCATCTCGAGGTCCTTCAGCGGGATGTCGCACCCGGACGCCTTGATGTTGTTCGTGATCCACTCTGCCACGCTCTCGAACATCTCCTGGATCGCCGTGGAGTCGGCGTCGACGGCCGCCATGTTGAGGCCCCTCAACGGGATGTTGTACAGGGAAGCCTTGATGTTGTTCGGGATCCACTCCGCCACGAGCCTGAACATCTCCTGGATCGCCGTGGAGTTGCCGGCGACGGACGCCTTGATGCTGCTCGGGATCCACTCCGCCATGCTCTCGAAAATCTGCTGGATCCCCGTGGAGTTGCTGGCGAAGGCCACCGCCATCTTGAAGTCCTTCAGCGGGATGTCGCTCACGGACGCCTTGACGTTGTCCGGGATCTGGTCCGCCACGAGCTTCAACCCCTCGTGGATCGTCGTGGAGTTGCTGGCGAAGGCCACCACCATGACGAGGTCCTTAAGCGGGATGTCGCACTCGGAGGCCGTGATGTGGTTCGGGATCTGGTCCGCCACGAGCTCGAACATCTCGTGGATCGTCGTGGAGTTGCTGGCGAAGGCCACCACCATTTCGAGGTCCTTCAGCGGGATGTCGCACACGGACGCCTTGATGTTGTTCGTGATCCACTCCGCCACGCTCACGAACATCTCCTGGGTCGCCGTGGAGTCGTCGGCGAAGGCCGCCATCTTGAGGTCCGCCAGCGGAATGTTGTACAGGGAGGCCTTGATGTTGTTCGGGATCCACTCCGCCACGAGCCTGAACATCTCCTGGATCGCCGTGGAGTTGCCGGCGAAGGACGCCTTGATGCTGTTCGGGGCCCACTCCGCCATGCTCTCGAACATCTTCTGGATCCCCGTGGAATTGCTGGCGAAGGCCACCGCCATCTTGAGGTCCTTCAGAGGGATGTCGCCCACGGACGCCTTGATGTTGTCCAGGATCCACTCCGCCACGAGCTTCACTCAATCCTGGATCGTCGTGGATTTGCCGGCGAAGACCACCACCATCTTGATATTCGTCGGCGGGATGTCGTACTCGGAGGCCTGGATGTTGTTCGGGATCTGGTCCGCAACATCTCCTGGATCGTCGTGGAGTTGCTGGCGAAGGCCACCACCATTTCGAGGTCCTTCACCGGGATGTCGCACGCATCTTGACGTCGTTGGTGATCCACTCCTCCGCGCTCTCGAACATCTCCTAGATCGCCGTGGGGTCGCCGTCGACGGCCGCCATCTTGAGACCCTTCAGCGGGATGTTGTACTCGGAGGCCTTGATGTTGTTCGGGATTCACTCCGCCACGAGCCTGAACATTTCCTGGATCGCCGTGGAGTTGCCGGCGAAGGGCGCCTTGATGCTGTTCGGGATCCACTCCGCCATGCTCTGGAAACTCTCCAGGATCCCCGTGGAGTTGCTGGCGAGGGCCACCACCATCTTGAGGTTCTTCAGCGGGATGTCGCCCACGGACGCCTTGATGTTGTCCGGGATCCATTCCGCCACGAGATTCCACCCATCCTGGATCGTCGTGGAGTTGCTGGCGGAGACCACCGCCATCTTGAGGTCCGTCAGCGGAATGTTGTACAGGGAGGCCTTGATGTTGTTCGAGATCCACTCCGCCAGGGGCCTGAACATCTCCTGGAACGTCGTGGAATTGCTGGCGACGGTTATCGCCATCTCGAGGTCCTTCAGCGGGATGTCGCACCCGGACGCCTTGATGTTGTTCGTGATCCACTCTGCCACGCTCTCGAACATCTCCTGGATCGCCGTGGAGTCGGCGTCGACGGCCGCCATGTTGAGGTCCCTCAACGGGATGTTGTACAGGGAAGCCTTGATGTTGTTCGGGATCCACTCCGCCACGAGCCTGAACATCTCCTGGATCGCCGTGGAGTTGCCGGCGACGGACGCCTTGATGCTGCTCGGGATCCACTCCGCCATGCTCTCGAAAATCTGCTGGATCCCCGTGGAGTTGCTGGCGAAGGCCACCGCCATCTTGAAGTCCTTCAGCGGGATGTCGCTCACGGACGCCTTGACGTTGTCCGGGATCTGGTCCGCCACGAGCTTCAACCCCTCGTGGATCGTCGTGGAGTTGCTGGCGAAGGCCACCACCATGACGAGGTCCTTAAGCGGGATGTCGCACTCGGAGGCCGTGATGTGGTTCGGGATCTGGTCCGCCACGAGCTCGAACATCTCGTGGATCGTCGTGGAGTTGCTGGCGAAGGCCACCACCATTTCGAGGTCCTTCAGCGGGATGTCGCACACGGACGCCTTGATGTTGTTCGTGATCCACTCCGCCACGCTCACGAACATCTCCTGGGTCGCCGTGGAGTCGTCGGCGAAGGCCGCCATCTTGAGGTCCGCCAGCGGAATGTTGTACAGGGAGGCCTTGATGTTGTTCGGGATCCACTCCGCCACGAGCCTGAACATCTCCTGGATCGCCGTGGAGTTGCCGGCGAAGGACGCCTTGATGCTGTTCGGGGCCCACTCCGCCATGCTCTCGAACATCTTCTGGATCCCCGTGGAATTGCTGGCGAAGGCCACCGCCATCTTGAGGTCCTTCAGAGGGATGTCGCCCACGGACGCCTTGATGTTGTCCAGGATCCACTCCGCCACGAGCTTCACTCAATCCTGGATCGTCGTGGATTTGCCGGCGAAGACCACCACCATCTTGAAATCTTTCAGCGGGATGTCGTACTCGGATGCCTTGCTGGTGTTCGAGATCTGGCGTGCCACGAGCTCGAACATCTCCTGGATCGTCGTGGAGTTGCTGGCGAAGGCCACCACCATGACGAGGTCCTTCAGCGGGATGTCGCACGCGGACGCATTGATGTTGTTCGTGATCCACTCCGCCACGCTCTCGATCTTCTCCAGGGTCGCCGTGGAGTCGTCGGCAATGGCCGCAGTCTTGAGGTCCTTCAGCGGGATGTCGCTCACGGACGCCTTGATGTTGTTCGGAATTCGCTTCGCCACGCGCGTGAACGTCTCCTGGGTCGTGGTGGAGTTGCCGGCGAAGACCACCGCCATCTTGAGATCCTTCGGCGGAATGTCGCACAGGGAGGCCTTGATGTTGTTCGGGATCTAGTCCGCCACGCTCTCGAACATCTCCCAGATCGCAGTGGAGTCGTCGACGCGGGCCGCCACCCTGATGTCCTTCAGCGGGATGTCGCGCACGGGCGCTTTGATGGTCACCGCCATCGCTGGGGCGAGGATCGGCAAGGACATCTTCTCGGCGAGGTTGCTCGGCACCGGGCCCCCGATGACGACGCTCAGCGGCTCCATCGCGACCTCGCCGGGGCTGCCGTGGCTGCTGCTGCTGCCGTGCGTTGCTGCCGCTGCCGTCGTCGCTGCTGCTGGCGTTGCTGCTGTTGCCGCTGTCCGCGGCGAGGGCGCTGGCGCCCGTGGCGTTCGGCCAGTCGCCGGCGCCAACCACGCTGGATCACAGGCGCAGCCTGCCGCCAACTGCGCTGCAGATGCCGGCGCCAGATCGGGATCAGCGAGCGGAGCAGCCGCGCCGGCCGCTGCAAGCGGCAGCGGCGGCAGCGCAGGCAGGCGCCGGGGTTCAGCTGGTTGCCGTCGCGCGCGCGCAGCTCGTTGGGGCACTCCCAAGCTGGTTTCACCTCTTCACGCAGGCCCGGGCCGAAGCGCTCGAATCGCCTCCGGGCCAGCTCGGCGCGCAAGGGGCCCTCGCGGGCCATCTTGGCCGATTGGGCGGGGCGCGGCCGCCCCCCATGGGCGGCGATCTGCCGAAGCAGCGCGATGCTGCACAGCAGCTGTCGGACCCGGGCGCTGGAGAGCAGGCCCACGTCAGCCGCGGACCGCGGCGGCAAGCAGCAGCCCATCCCCGCCTCCGCCCCGAGAGGGGAACCGGGGGGGGAAGCGACCGTGCCGGGGGACCACCTGCTGCGCCTTCGTTTTGCGCAGCTCGAGGGCCGCGCATTCCGCCGGCCGCCGCGGCGGGGCGAAGGAGTGGAGGCCAAGGTCGAGCGTGAGTTCCGCGTCGCCGCATTCGCCGCGGCACAGGACGATGCGGCGCCGGTGGAAGCGCCCCCGCGTGTGAACAGATAGCGCCAGGCCCGAATCGGGCCTGGCCCGATCGGGCCGCCCGATCGCGCGAAAGCGCACGCCATGCCCTCGAGGTCGGCCATGGCCTCCTCGTAGATGTCCTCGCCGCCCGGTCGCTGAAAGCAGGCGTGCGCGCCCACCGCGCTGACCCCTTGGCGCTGGAGGGTGGCCAGGCAGAAGGCAAGGGTCTGGCGGTCGGACTGTTCGCCGAGGCACGGCTCCCAGATCCCCGCGGCGTCGGTGGTGTCCCGGAGCCAAAGTCGCAGCAATCGGTCAAAGCTCCATCCGACGTCGTTGCGGCGGATGTCGATCGTGGTAACGGGCCTGGAAGGTTGTTCGGGATCCACTCCGCCACGAGCCTCAGCCTCTCCTGGATTATTGTGGAGTCGTCGGCGAAGGCTACCGCCATCTTGAGGCACTTGGGCGGGATGTCGTACCCTGAGGCCTTGATATTGTTCAGGATCCACTCCGCCAAGCGCCCAAACATCTCCTGGCTCGCCGTGGGGATGCCGGCCACGGCTACCATCTTGAGGTCTCTCAGCAGAATGTCGCACACGGAGGCGTTGATGTTGCCTCAAGCCACTCCGCCACGAGCTTCAACCTCTCCAGGATCGTCGTGGAGTTGCCAGCGAAGGCTATCACCGTCTTGAGGTGCTGGATCACCATGGAATTGCAAGGGATGCGCTCCGCCTAGCGCTCGAACGTCTCCTGGATTGCCGTGGAGTCGCCGGTGAAGGCCGTCATCTTGAGCCCCCTCAGCGGGATGTCGCACACGGAGGCCTTGATATTGTTCGGGATTCGCACTGCCTCGCTCTCGGACATTTCCTGGATCGCAATGGAGTTGCTCGAGATCCACTCCGCCGCATGCTTAAACATCACCTGGATTGCCGTGGAGTTGTTGGCCAAGGCCGCCATCTCCAGTCCCTCCAGCGGGATGTCGCACAGGGAGGCCTTAATGTTGATCAGGATCCACTCCACCATTCGCTCGAGCATCTCCTGGATCGCCGTGGAATTGTCGGCGAAGGCCGCCATCCTGAGGTCCTTCACCGGGATGTCGTACAGGGAGGCCTTGATGTTGTTCGTGATTCACTCCGCCACGCGCCTGAATGTCTCCTGAATCGTCGTGGAGTTGCCGGCGAAGGACGCCTTGACGTTGTTCGGGATCCGCTCCGCCACGCTCTCGAACATCTCCTGGATCGCCGTGTAGCCGTGGGCCAAGGCTGCCATCTTGAGGTCCTTCAACGGGGTGTCGCACAGGGAGGCCTTGATGCTGCTCGGGATTTGCTTCGCCACGCTCTTGAACATCTCCTGGATCGTCGTGGAGTCGCCGGCGAAGGACGCTTGGATGGTGTTCGGGATCCACTCTGCCACGCTCTCAAACATCACCTGGGTGGCCGTGGAGTCGTCGTCGACGGCCGCCATCTTCAGGTCCTGCAGCGGGATGTTGTACACGGAAGCCTTGATGTTGTTCGGGGCCTGGTCCGCCACGAGCTCGAAAATCTCCTGGATCGTCGTGGAGTTGCTGGCGAGGGCCACCACCATGTCGAGGTCCTTCAGCAGGAAGTTGTACTCGGAGGCCTTGATGTGGTTCGGGATCTGGTGCGCCACGAGCTCGAACATCTCCTGGATGGTCGTGGAGTTGCTGGCAGAGGCCACCGCCATGTCGAGGTCCTTCAGCGGGATGTCGCACACGGACGCATTGATGTTGTTCGGGGTCCACTCCGCCACGCCCTCGAACATCTCCTGGATCGCCGTGGAGTCGTCGTCGACGGCCGCCATCTTGAGGTCCTCCAGAAGGATGTTGTACAGGGGGGCCTTGATGTTGATCGGGATCCACTCCGCCACGAGCCTGAACATCTCCTGGATCGCCGTGGAGTTGCCGGCGAGGGGTGCCTCGATGCTGTTCGGGACCCACACCGCCACGAGCTTCAACCCCTCCTGGATCGTCGTGGAGTTGCTGGCGAAGGCCACCACCATCTTGAGATCCTTCAGCGGGATGTCGTACTCGGAGGCCTTGCTGTCGTTCGGGATCTGGTCCGCCACGAGCTCGAACATCTCCTGGATCGTCGCGGAATTGCTGGCGAAGGCCACCACCGTGTCGAGGTCCTTCAGCGGGATGTCGCATACGGACGCCTTGATGTTGTTCGTGATCCACTCTGCCACGCTCTCGAGCACACGCCGCGCCTGCGCGCCAGGCGAGCAGGAGGGCTCGGCCCTGCGCCCGGAGGCGCCGCTGTCGCCGGGCGGCAGCTTTCTCTCCCCGCGCTGGGCGCGGGCAGCCCTCGAAGGCCGCCCGCCTGCCGTCGCCCATCCCTGCCGCGCCGGCGCCCCGCGCGCGCGTGCCCCGCGGGTCGCCCAGGCCAGCATGCGCCCTGATGCGCGCCGACTTGGGCCGGGGCGGCTTGAGCCAGAGGGCTACGGAACTAGTGGGGATACTTCTTGATTGACGGCTCCAAGGACAGATCCAGGAAGCGGGGCGGGCTCGGCTGGGGTGCGGGGCGAGATAATTGGCAACGGCGGCACGTAGGCCGACGACGCAAATGCACGTGCAAGAGGCAAAATGCCCCCCATTGAGATGCGAGCGACCCAGGAGCAGGGGCGCAGGCACCAGTCGGAGCTAGACAGAAGAGAAGTCGCACAGTGGCGCCAACTCGAACCGCGCTGACCGGCGCGCACTGGCGCGCGGCACGCTGCGCTGCGGCAGCACGGGGGGCCCGAGAGGCCGCTCCGATAAACGCGACGAGGCGAGAGAGCAAGGAGGGGCGGCCAGCGCGAGAGAACGCACAGGCAGAAGAGGGGAAACCGGGGAAAACCCTCACTCACAAGGACTCCTGAGCGTGGTCGGGCAAAGCGATCGCCTGAAGGCACGGACCAACCCAAACATGGAGTCCGAAACCTGCGACAGATAGACCCCGAGGGTCGGGGGGGAACGATAGCAGGCATGGCCGAGCACCCTGGGCCACCCGGCAGGAGGTCTGGAACATTGCCAAAGGATGAACCACTCGTGCATTCCAGCTCGAGGGTAGCCCCCACCGAGAGAGAAAGACCAAGTCATCGGCGAACAGCGCGGGCAGCTGATCCATCACGATGGACGGGGGGACAAAGCGGCGAGCGTCGGTCGGAAGGGGCGGACCAGATGGGAGTCCGTTGGCAGTCGAACAAAGGATGTACCACTTGTCCGTGCCGCACTCTCCCCAGGTCCGGCCCCAGGTGGCGCGGGGCGGGGTGGCGCGCCGGGCTGCGTCCAGCCGTGACCCAGGAACAGGTGCCAGGAGCCACCCCTCGGCCACATGGGCGAGCCACGCCAGCACCAGGGGCGGGAGTCGCACACTCGGGGGTGGACTGCCTAAGGCCCGAGTCGTCCGAAACAACGCCAGGTCGCCTCGCGGTAAGACCGCGCCCCGGAGCAATGCCATTGGGCCTCCCGTTTGCAAGTGAGTCCGAATGCACCGGCGGAGCCTCGGCGGGGGGACTTCGCGCGGCGTCGAGCCAGCCGACGAGGAGGAGGAGAAGGAGTCGCAGCCGACAGCCGCACAATCCAGTGAATGAAAAGAGGAGAGGGAAGGGGGGCGTCAGAGATGACAACGCCAGGACCATGGCCTCTGCGGTCCCTCCACCCAGGGTTGCGGCGGGTCCGCGGCGACCGCGGGGGGGACAGCGCGCCAGACCACATCGGGAGACCTCGCTGCCACTGTCCCAAGCAGCAACGTGCCCGAGGGCTCCAGTGGAGCCTCGGTGGGGGGGAAATCGTGAGTCGCCGCATCAGCAGGGGGAGGAGGAGAGGAGGGGTCGGAGCCGATAGCCGCACAATCCAGTAAATGAAAGGAGGAGAGGGAGGGGTGGCGTCAATGCTGACATTGCGAAGACTTGGCCTCTGTGATCCCCCCACCCTGAGCTGAGGCGGGTCCGCGGCGACCGCGGGTGGAACAGAGCGCCAGACCACTGCGGGAACCCTCGTTGTCACTGCCCCAAGCAGCAACGTCGGGGGGGAAAACGCGAGGCGAAGAGCGTAGGAGCCAGGTGGAGCGCGCGGGGTGGGCCTATGGCCAGCATCTCTAGTCATCCAAAGTGATCCTCGGCCCGCGGGAACCGAGTCAAGGGGGGGCACGGGGGGTGGGTTAATTCAGCCACCATCCACTGTCCTGAAGGGTCCCACGAGACCAGCGTGGGCTGTCTAGTGCGCAGCGCATGGGTATTGATGCACCTCTGCCCCAAAAGAGGTGGCACGGGGGTACTAAGGCCGAGGCCTGGCGCTGCGGTGAAACCGGCCCCCGCCCAGGTCGGAAGCAACCGCGAGGGGGGCTGGGCCGTGGGGGCCTGCCACGTCGCGCTCCTCCGTCTCTCTCCTCTGCATCGCTGTGCGCAGCAAAGAGCCGGTTGAGGACCATGGGGCTGCCGACCCAGCGGGCCCCGCCCGGAACAGCGGGGTCCCATATTGCCCACAGGGTCAGCGCGAGGGAGACCACCTTGTATAGTGAGGTGGAGGCAGTTCCCAGTTGCCCAAAGTCGTCATTGTCCAGAAAGCAGGCGTTGCGCTCCAGGACGGGCCGGGTGGCAGCTCTAAGAATCGACATGCTCGGGTGGCAGAAAGGCTTGAGCCGCGGACAGGCCGCGCGGGCCGTCCTGCCCGGATAGGCGACGGGCCAGATGAGCAGTTTGGGGTGGGGGGGGGGGGGCGTGTCGCACGCGCAGCAAAGGGCCCTTGACTGGGCGGGCCACTCCCGGGGCCGGGGGGGGGGGGCGATGGGCGCCCGAGGCAAGGCCCTGTCCGATCACTTGGGGCCGAAGGCCCAATCCCGCTGTCGCTTGTCCGCGTAGTGGGCTTCTCCTCTGGGGAAAGACCGCTTACCCTTGGCCTTCCAGTCCGTGTCAGCCCATGTGTCTCGCTGGTGCTCCCACCCGTCCCAGGACTGCCAAGTGCGCCATGATGCTGCGGATCCAGATGCACCTGTCCGTGCGTAGGACTTGCCTTCGGGGACCCAAGGGGGGTTATTTGTGGCCTCCTTGCCCTCGTCGGCCCACGGGCTTGAGCGTCCGCTTCCGATGGGCGGCTCAACTGCGCGTACTCTGGTGTCGCGCTGCGTGTGCCTGCGCTGCTTCTCCATGACGTTCGGCCAGTCGACGTGGAGCTGGTACTATCTGTCCAGCTTGTAGGCGTCGTATCCAACTTTGCTCCATGCCTGGAGGAGGTCGTCGCACTGCTGTACCGTGTTCCGCCTGGGGTCAGACTTGATGTTGGCACAGGCGCTCCCTTGCTTGTGGGCCACCTTCCTGGCCCAGGCGCTCCACGCCCCATTGAAAGCGCCCCCCAGCATCTTCTGCATTCGCATGATCTTTTCTGGTGCCGATTCGCCCCTTGTGACATCTGCGTCGCCGACGGATGTCAAGTACATGGGGAGGCCACCCATGGGGTCGTCAAGGCGCGCAGGTGGGATTGATGGTGTCTGGGCTTCGCGCCACCAGTCCTGTGAGCTGTGCCCTGGCCTGGGTGAACTGTGGGGCGGCGTAGCTGAGTGTTATCTGTTGCAGTCTTCGGCGATTGTGGGTGGACGGCGGCCTGCTTCGCTCCCTGATTGTCTGAGTGTCCGGCCGTCACCGATAGCGTGAACGTTCCAGGTTCGCTCCTCGTTGGGGTGGGCCTCGACTCTCCTCCATGCGTCGTTCGG